AAAGGGCCGCGGAGCTGCGTGGCCGCCGCCGCCGGCCGCGGCTCGCCTCCGCGGGCGCGGAAATTTGTTGCACTTCTTGGGGCTTTGTTTGTTTGTTTGTTTTCCCTCTGCTTTTCTTTTTCGTTATTCTGGACAAAATGTCGGTCCGTGATGTAAAAATTGAGCGAGGACCCTTGATGGCATTGGGAGCTTTGCAGAAGGTGCAGTTTGGATTCGCCTTTTCCCAGGGTGGCAGCTCGGTCTTGGCCGGATGAATCTTCGCTGCTGGCGGTGGCAAGGGCTAGAGCAGCTCGTTAGTCGATTTTTAAATTCCTAAGTGTTGTATTTAAAGGCTTACATGCACAGAGGAGGGATCGCCGCCTTAAATAAGCATATGGGCGATTAACAGGGTATGTTTTCCTCTCGGAAAAGGAATTTGGTAGCTTTGACCAATGTCAGTGTGTAAATATTTAGACGTTATTAGTGACTTTTTAACATTTTTCAGCTAGATCTGTTATTTACAGTGTGTCATATGTTATTAATGCTCGTTGCCTAAGTTCCCTGGCAAATCTGTTTCATGCCTTCTGAGAAAGTAGACAATTGATAGATTGTCCAAGGGATGGAAAAAAATGTGAGTGGGTTTTCTAACTTGAGTTCGGTAAATTCCTGCAAGCTGGCGTTGTGAGACCCATCACCTCCCCTGTAACCTTGTTGTACGGTGAAATAAGTGGGAACACTTCTGAAACGTTTTCATTAAAATAAGATTTTAGGTAAATAAAATGCTCTTGGTTTATTTCTTAGGTTTAACGTTGCCTTTCTTTCCCCCTTTTCTCTCTCAAAGTTTTTCAAGAAATAACTTCACCAAGATGTCCAGTGATAGGCAGAGGTCCGATGATGAGAGCCCCAGCACCAGCAGTGGTAGTTCAGATGCGGACCAGCGAGACCCAGCCGCTCCAGAGCCTGAAGAACAAGAAGAAAGAAAACCTTCTGCCACCCAGCAGAAGAAAAACACCAAACTCTCTAGCAAAACCACTGCTAAGTTATCCACTAGTGCTAAAAGGTAACGTGTCAAACAAGGATTAAGCACGTTGTCAGGTTGTTTTCCAAGTGATTGGACTCTTTGGTTGGCTTTGCATCATTAGTAATGGTTCAAAAATATTTACTTCACGATCAATTTTATTTGTACTTGAGTGAGCTGTCATTCTTTAGGTGGTATACAAGCCACCTGCCTAGAATTATACTTTTAAGCAAACTTACTCTGTACTTTGGTAACTTTGGTAAAAGTGTCCTTGAGTAGAGACCAGACTACACATTCTGACAGATTGTTTAAGGAGTTGGCAAGGAAAATTTGGTGAATCCACGTTAGCTGGTACTTTGAGGATGTTTCCTTTTTATGAGTCATACTCTTCTGCATTGAAATTGACACTTCTCGAGATCAGCGGTGCCTCTCTTCTTGTAAGGATCATGTTGGCTAGAAAATTTGTAAATTCAAGGCCTTGGCTGTATTTGAAAGCAGATTTAAAGATTGTGCTCTAAATCGGCTTTCAGTTTTAGAAACAGGACTTTAGGTCATGCATCCTAGGTATTACTTTTTGTAGTTAAATTATGGTTACACCTGCGTTCTTGTGAGGGCAAATAAAACTGAGACGTAGCCATTTACAATTTTAGGTAGTACTTGGCCGTTGAAAACTTTTGTTGTCCTTGTGCCTCTTCACGCTAAAACTTGTGGATATGCTTGACACATTAATACTCAGCAGCAGGAGAAACATATTTTCTTGAGTATAAGTGAAAGATCATTTGTTTCCTGTTGATTTATATTTTCTGTGATGGTGAAAAAAAGATTCTGTCAATGGGATGCCATCAGTGGTAGTAATAGTGGAATATCCATGAATTCTAGTAATTATACATCAGGTGTATCTACAGCATTAGCCAATGTTGACATTTTGTTGATTTTTATTGATCACAACCAAAGGGAAAAAAAAACATAAAAACTGATTAAATATTGGTGTTCTGTAGTGATTCAGAAATACTCCTATTTTTTAAATAGATTTTTGCCTTTATTGTATCAGTAATCAAGTATTAATAACTTGAGAATATTTTATTAGATAACAGCAATCTTTGAAATAATTTAAAATCCTTCTTAGTTGTAATCTTGTTGAGGAACATACTAAACACATCTGAAGTTTTGAAAGCATTTTAAATTTGAATAAAATCATAGAACTGCTTTTTTTCCCCTTTAACTCAAGGCTATATATCTTATTGTCTCCTTTCCCATCAAATTTATTAATTTTAAGTGCTGTCCTTAAGATCAAGGAAAACAGATATGGTTAAATAAGAATGCCAGAGTTCTTTGAAAGTTTTTCACTGGTAAGGATATTTGTAAATTTTAAACTTTTTCTGGACAGATGAAATATTGTCAAAACTATTAACGTGCTTTTGCAGTAGCTTGTTAATTCTTACCTCTGTAAAAGTGACTTGAAGTCATTGTCAAATATTCTAGTGCTTTCCCTCCTCCCTTCTTGTCTCATTTGCATATAAGCTTGAAAAGAGAATTTCTTTGGTAAAAAGTGTTTTAAAATGGATTTTCTATCCTTTCCTGAATGCTAGTGGAGGACTAGTTTTCAGATCAGGTGTAAGTGTCTTGCTTATTTCCAATAGCAAGTGAGAAAAAAAGCTGCAAAGTTTCTGTGAAGGGGTTTGGGTTATGCCTCTGAGAACAAAGAGGAAGCAGCCATGTTAGCAGTACTGAAGGCAGAGCCAGCCTTGCATTTAACTGCATGGTGGTAGAGGGCAGTGTAATTCCCCGGTTATTCTCTAGACTATCTCAAATCCTTTTTGTCTGTTCTCATTTCACTAACAGAATTCAGAAGGAGCTAGCTGAAATAACGCTTGATCCTCCTCCTAACTGCAGGTAAGAAACAAATTTTGTTGTTTTAATTTCACATTGTGGAGAAATATCAAGAGGTTAAGGTATCATCTGTGGATGTGTGTTCTGCAGAAGAGGCTACATTTGCTTCTTTTTAGCTTTGCAACTGCAGTAAAAATTGTCTAAGGTGAATTAAATAAATTTAGGAGAAAAAATGCTTTTTAGCATATATCATACATTTTGGACTTAAGAATTAGACTGATTTTGTGCTTCTTATTGAGGTAGTATGAATGGTGCTGATTTTTGTTCTGTTGTAATATTTCTGTAGAGGTGTTTATTCAGAAGTATTTTCAGAAACTTCTAAAATTTTGCTAAGCTTTAAAGTTACTGCTTGTGTGCAATCTGAACTGACCTTCCAAATTTAGAAATTGCTGAATGTGTTGTTACAAAATTTAAATGCAGTAAACAGGAGTATAGTTTGATTTATTCAGTAATTTGCCTTAAGGACAAATTTTATGTGCTAAGCTAATGGTTTTAGTTGTTTTCTAGAGAATGCATTGTTGGAATTATTTACATTTTAATCAAATGTCCTAATTACTTGGAAAAAGTCTCAGTAATTTTGGTACTTGAAATCTGTATATGAAAAGCAGTAAAGGAATTGAAATTTGTTGGAAGAATTCATTTCAGTGGAGCTCATGTAGAATAATTTAAGATTGTTGGTTGGTGTAAGGTGCATTAAAAGTAACTGGTTGATAATTTTTTCCCTGAAATAATTTTTCTCAATTCATCTTACTTAATGCTCTGTCGACAGTGACTACATGGCTTCCAAAATTCATCAAACTTAAAAAGAGTCTTGTAGATAATTTGTGTAGAGATATGTGCTCAGGAACAAGAGTGGCTGCTACAAATAAGTCAGTGTTATGGTTTGATATGAAAATGTTTTCTTGTTTTAACCTGTGTTTTTGCTACAAGTTTTGTTCAGTTGTGATGATCAGACCTATCTCTGAAGTCTGCTTGAGATATAATAGGGTATAATCCAATTGCTTCTTATTGTGTGTGTTAACCGGAGCCTCAGATAAGGTGATCTGATACTAATTTATCCAGTCAAATAGCAGTTTTGCTCATTTGTAATCAGCCATTTCAATTCAAAAAGGAAACATGAATGTAAACTAATTTTAAGCAGATAGTGGTATGTCAGGTCTCAAAGTGTTACTTAAGAGCTGTTCTGTGCAGTCATGTAGCCACTAGCCACTTGTGGCTCCTGACCATTTCAGTTGTAATACAAAATGAGATGTGCTCTAGGTGTAACATACACGTCGGATTTCGAAAACTTAGTACAAGAAAAGAATGTAAAATATCTTATTGATTTAAAAAAAATTTTTATTACATGTTGAAGTGAGAATATTTTGGCTATATTGAGTTTTATAAAATATGTTTTAAGATTGATTTCACTTTTATTTTTTACCATTCAAATTGTGGTTATTAGAAAATTTAAAATTACATATGTGGCTTGTGTTATATCTCTGTTGAACGGCACTGCTTTGGAGAATAAGTAAATCAGAGTATTTCCTTCCAGGCTTCTAAACGGTGTGTCAAATCTGTAGCCATTTAGGGAGGTCAAGTTAAATTTGTTCTCTGGAAGAATTACTTAACTTGCAGAGTGTATTTTGATATTTCCCGTTATATAAGATGTAAAGATCTATCAATTGAAAACTCCTAAATGTTTTAAAATTTCGTAAGGTCAAACATTTTTAAAGGTTTCTGTTGATTTTCTGCAAATGGCACAAACTAGTGTATGTGCATAAATCTAGAGAGCCCAGTGGATATGTGCTGAATGCCTTAGAGCAACAGCTTATTGCCGCAGTTGCTGAAGAAATATGCTTTACACGTTTAACTTGGGAATGGTTCCACAAGGTCACTGAGGATTGTTTTAGAGGAAGTAAATAGGAGATAGAAAGTTTAACTTGTTTTAATTTCTCTCTTTATATACCAGGTTTCGTTTCAGTCCGTGAAATAATGCTTCATGTTTAGTGATTAGACTAGTGAAATGGTGAAGCCTTGGGCTTGCTTGTGAACAATAACATGGGATAATGCATCATCTGCACTCTCCCTTGTCACACCTTGTGATGACTGTCAACTACTGCAAATGACATCTTTCACTTCTCTAGTTCTTTTAATATATCTATGAGTTTCTTTGTGACCGTGTAAGTGATTAATGAAAAAACAGACAGTAAATCTGAGTCTTAGTAGGGGCCTGGGAGAAGTTGCTTCTTACTAGTTTGAGGACAGTCGTCTTATGTATGCCTGACATGTAAACTATCCAGGTACTTTTGTGTGTTTTATTATAAGTGTCTAGATGCTTTTGAGTGGAAGAAGATTCAGTCTTTGTCCTTGAGCAGGAGTTAGGAATATTGAGTAGGTTAGTGGAGGCATTTTAGGATTTTGACAGCCAAGTCCGAATTTGTGTTGTATTTTTACCTTCATGTCAAATATGTGACAGACTGTGGTGTTCTTGTAATTCACAGGTGCATCGGTGAGAATTTTAGCTTTATGATGATTGTATAGTTTAAACTTAATTTGTTATAATTAAAAATGGGGTTCTATATTAATAAATTCTAGAATATTTGAATTCATATTGCCTGAAATCTCAGAAACCTAATTCTTTTGACTTTCGTGTGTAGTTAATTAATCAGAATTCCATTATAGTTTTGAATATGATGTTTATGAGCTTGTCAAAGTGTGTGATAGATGTAATTCTTCCTCAGGGAAGAAATGTAAAGTATATCTGTGTACATTCAGGAAAGTTGAATGAAATACAAGAAAACTCAGCAAAACCAAAATTACTCAGACTAGATTAAGATTTCTCTTAAATCCCTTCCTGTGTTTAATTAATAAAATATTCTTTAGTTATCATATACCTATGTGTCATATGTATACACCCAGGGTGATCTTAGGATAGACCTAATTGTTAGAATTAAGTGTATGGCTTTAGACATATTTGAATATATTTTGATAGTATTGATATTTCTTTTCCTGAAAGTATAAACGTTTGATGAAATGTTGTTTCCAATGATTTCATGGCATTTCAGTTTTTAGATATTGGAATGCCTTAGGCCAAACCATCCTAAACATGGAGATGTAATATTTAGTGGCTTCAGTTTATACTCTTTGCATAACTGTATTCTAGATTAGGGTATCGTTGAGACACCAATGAGAATGAAGGGAAATTGTGTTATGGGTATTTCTTTACCTGTTTTTAGAGAAAATTGTTGAGTGATGTCCCATTAAGACACTTATGTTCCATCAGTTTCCCAAAGGGTGTCGTTGTCCTCTCACAGTTACCACTTGTACAGGCGGCAAAGATTTAGAAAGGTGCTGGATTTTTAACTCAACCTATAGTGTTTTCCATGTACAAGAAAGTACAAATACACTCTTAAAATATTCTTTAATACGTTCAGATTGAATCTAGCTTGAGGTAGATATTCAGGGCCATTTATAAATAGTTTTTGATGTGGGAAAGGCCTTATTGGAGGGAGGCGTTACAGTATCAAGTTTTAGTATTGCAAAACCTGAAAGCAGGTACTGTAGTACTTGGAAATTTTAACTTCCTTCTTTAAAAAACAATTAATAAAAGAATCAGTTAAGTTCTAAACCAGAAATTGGCAACCCCTTCTTTGCTCATGAGCCTAATTGTCTAACTGTGGATGAACTCTGCCTCCTTTTGAGGGTTACCACCACTTTCCACCATTTACTAGAGTAGACTAGAACTTTGCTGCTCAAAGGGTGAACTTCAGACCAGCAGCATCTGCATCGCAGGTGAGATTGTAGAAATGCAGAATCTGGTCTCCCTTACTGCAGAAGTACTGAATCAGAATCTGAATTCCAACAAGATTCCCAGGTGAATTGTGTGTATATTAAAGTTTTAAAAGCGAGGGAACTGGAGCTGGACAGACTGTCTGGGTTCAAATCCGTGCTCTGGCACTTACTAGCTAAGTTAGGTTAGATAAGTTGTGGGGTATTTCTGTCTTTCAGTTTCCTTAGCTGTAAAATGGAGATTAAAATGATACCCCCCGCCCTCTTTATAGGTTAATTGTGAGAATTAGATGGGTTAATATGTTTTAAAGTTTTGTAACAGTGTAAATTGGGTCAGTAAAGTGGCCACAGCATAATTACAGTAGGAGAGGCAGTTCAGCAGCATGCTCTCACTCTTGCTGGCATTTTCGCCAGTGCATCAGCATCCTACTATAGGAGTAATTTCATTTTAATCAATTCAGCACCTATTTATTGAGAACATATCAAGCAGTTGTTTTTTTGATGTTAGTAAAAGCAGTTCCTTGGAACTTGAGTAAAAAAGAAAATAAACCTAAGAACATTGGGCAAAGATGAACAAATATTATATCCCCTTTAAAGGAATATGCATAAGGTTAGTGATACTTAATTCAATAGAGAATGGTCTGACTATCCAGTAAATAATAGTGAAAAATTTTTAAATAAAGGTGATGGTTATGTTTTCTCTTTTAAATATCCCATTATAAGAATTTGCATTTTCCTGAGAATGAGAATATATCAATATTTGTAAAATTTAGAATCTGAATTGATATAGTTTACCTGTTACCAAAACATAATATTCTTTCGTTGTCTGTGGTCTAAGGAGAGATTTTGGAAGCTTTTTCTAGTTGGTGTATGAAGGCAGGTCATGATCAAAATAACATGTGATGTCTACATAGCTTTGTTGGTTGCTTATACAGTAGTGATTTTAAATCCTCCCACACACATACATAGATTGCTTTTTCTTACTTATACATTTGATTGTTGTTACTGTTTCTATTAAACAGTGTGTGCTGCCTGAAGGTACCCTATTTTATAAAACAAAATTGTATCTCATTAATCATCTAGTCCTTTTATTTTCAACTCTTCCAAAAAAATCCTGGAACTCCCTTTTTATAAAAATTAAATCTTAATTGGAAGCTCGATTTGTAAAACAGGTAAATACAGAACTACTCTGATTGAAGGTGCTTTTCATCCCACCCTGTTGTGGTCATCTA